CTACACTGAGTTAATTATCTGTCTGCTTCACTCGAGCAGGACTTCTCAACCTCAAGACTACCGACATTTTGGGCCAGATAGTTCTTGGTTGCAGGGGGCTGTTCTGTGCACTGTACAATGTTTAGTAGTATTTATAGCCTCTATCAACTAGATACTGGTAGCAGCCTTCAAGCTTTAATAACCAAAAACGTCTGCAAACTTTACCCAATGTCCCCCAAGGGAGAAATCAGGCCTGGCAGAGAATCACTCCTCTATACCACAAACAACCCAAGGGCAGAAACTAACTATGACTCCTCATTATTGTATCTCCAGGTATCAAGTACAAAAGCCAGTACATAGTAGGTGTTCATTAAATGCATGTAAGAGCTACAATCCTGACTTCTAGTACCACAGAGTAGTTTTAATTCTTTTCACAATGTATGTAAAAGTATATATATTTTTATGGCTTCCTTCATTCAACATTACATTGTGAGATTTATCTATGTTGCTATATGTTGTGGTAGTTCATTTCCACTTTTTAATTCATGATGCTTTTTCCAATGTTCTATTATTTGGACATTTGGGTTATTTCCAATTTATAGTTGATATGGGCAATGTCATCATGAATACTCTTTTTTTTTTTTTAAGATTTATTTATTGGACAGAAAGAGATCACGAGTAGGCAGAGAGGCAGGCAGAGAGAGAGAAGGGGAAGCAGGCTCCCCACTGAGTAGAGAGCCTGATGTGGGGCTCGATCTCAGGACCCTGAGATCATGACCTGTGCTGAAGGCAGAGGCTTAACCCACTGAGCCACCCAGGTGCCCCAGGAATATTCTTTTATATTTGTTTTGGTTACAAGTCAAGATGGTAGTTTTGTTGGAGGAGGAGAGAGGGGAGTAACTGGAAAGGGAGAACACAAGTGTTCCTAGGGGGCTAACAGTCCTCTTGACCTGTATTAGTGATTGCCAGTGTGTGTCCACTTTGAGAAAATTCACTGAACTCTCCATTTATCATCTTGAACATGGAGTTCTTGTGATTTTTCATTTAAAGTTTTTTTTTTTTAATCAATAAGAATGAGACAGTTTTTTGAATAGAGGGGGGGAAAGCCAGCAATTCTGGTAAATACTGTACCATGCAAATATTCGTGTGAAAAATAAATGAACCCATAAAAGAAAAGCATATTAAACAGAAAATGCATTTTTGTACTTTTTTGTCAATAGCACCCATTGTTAGTAAGATGCAAGGGAAAAGGTCTACTAGTTAAGATGTGACCTGTTACAACTTTCTAGAAGGCCACTTAACAACATATATATCCAAAGTTTACAAATATGTATTATGGTTACATGTCAACCTATCTCAGAAAAGCTGGAAAATGTAATGTGTTTAAAGCTTGCTTATTATGCAAATAAATCAGACAACTGTATAAAACTACATGTGTGTATGTGAGAGGGACTGTATGAGGATATTCTTCATATGATTGCTTATATTAGTGGAAAACTAAAGAAAAATTGTAATGAGTAATTAAATATATTAGGATATATCCATTCAGTAGGATATGTGCAGCCATATTTAATGACATTAACAAAATGTTCATAATCCAGTAAGTTAAAGCAAGTCACAAAACAGAACAATGATACATTTGTAAGGGGAGAAAGACATAAATACATATAGAAACAAATGGTTGGGAATAGAAGCCAAAATGTTAACCTTTGTAATCTTTGAGTGTTTTTTTATTTTTGCCTTTGGCTTTTAAGGTCTATGTGCCAAGTTTTCTACATGGAATATTTATAACAAAGGAATAAAGGTTTTTCATGTAAATGATGTAAATGAGTTTGTCAATAAATGAGGAAAAAATATGAGAGAAATATCACCTAACAGAATCAGAGACTATGGAGGCTCTTACTGTCCATTCATGTATGTATTTTTCATAATATGCTTCAAATGGCTAGTGAATTGGTTTTCACAAGCCTGTCTGATTTTTAAGCTCCACACTATGTGCACCAAGAAGCCAAACCTAGCCACTTCCTAGAGCAAGTCTTCCTTCAGAAGAAAGATGTTGTTTTGCAACTGAAATATTACTCCAACGATTAGAAAACAGATGAGCAAGTTTCATTTCTAGGAATTTTTGTCAAGCTACTGTTGCTTGAGGTATAATTTTCTTCTCTACAATAGAACAAGAATCTCTTAAGAAAGTGAGTAGGATTTCAATTTCCAAGTCTGTGAGAGCTTTTCCAATTTAATTCTGCCTCCTTGCCTCTGAATAGAGTACAAACAATGGAATATATACAAAGTACAGGGGGATGGGGGGAAGCAAATCATTTGTATGAAAGAACCACAGCCATCCAAAGTCATACTGAGAATTAAATAATTTTCCACTTTCACTTTGATTCACAGGAGTCTTGTTAATAAGCCCTTCCTGCTTGTACCGGAGAAGTCATGATTTCCTCTAGGTCAGTAAACTGCCAACATTGATTGTGTTCACTTACAGTAAGTATAACCAGAGCAAACCCATTCATTCTCACTTGTAAAGTCACTTTTCAAGGCTGATTTACAGTCACTGCTCTCCTTTCTAAGAAAATGGGTAAACTTAGCCAAAGATGGGTCTGTGAACCCTTGCCTGAACAGATCTCCAAAGACACTACGCAGTAATGTGGAGGCAACTACCCATACCAGTTTGCCTGGGACAGTCCCAGTTTTACACCAATGTCCCTGAATAGTTATTAATAGCCAACCCTTTGATTCATCAACATCCTAGGGTTGAGCAATGCATGATATAGCCAGCCTACCATCCATACACAGGATGTATAATGCTAGGCTTAGAACTTGGAATAACTGCCTGGAGCCATCTACACTCTAACCTCCTCTTTCTTGTGCACAGATAGTGTGGAATAAAAAATGCACCAAAGAGTCACGGACTCAGATCCCTTAACACACCCCCCTCAACCAGGTGGTCTAAAGCAATCTAAATAGAAATCCATTTCAAGGTAGACCTAGCCTTCCATGAAAGTTTAAAAAAAAATTTTTTTAATTAAAAAAAAAAAAAGAAAGTTAAAAAATTATGGGAGACACTTTCCTAGATAGCTCCCAAATCACACAACTTAAGGATAAGGTACGTATTTGCAAAAATTAGCCAGCCTGTTGATACATGTTGGGAGTTCTGTCTCTGTAATTATTAATCCAAGCAATTCCATGAGGACAAGTAGATCTGAATTTCCTCTGAGCCTATCTATTTCTATCTCTGCTGATGGCAAAACTACTATTCACCTTGAAACCTTAGGATCAAAGCTGATGCTCTCTTTTCACTCTCTGAAACTAGTTACTAAGACCCACCGATACTATTATTTAAAGCTCTGGAATTCATTACCCACAAACCTTTTATCAGAACACGATTTCTAACCTGCAGTTATTATAGGAGCCTTCCTCTCTTTCCTTTCCTATCCTTCTCCAATTCACCTCCCCCACTGCTGCTACAATCATCCGGAACAAAGCAACCTCTGCAGTCCTCCCCTGCTCAAAACCTGTAGGTCTTATCCAGACTCCTTGGCCGAGCAGTCAAGACCTTTCTCAGTTCTCAGTTCCAACCACCCCTCTTACTAAGCACACATGACTCAATGGTTCTCATCCAAGGATAGTATTTCTCCTCTAGGAGGTGTTCGAAAATGTTTGAAGACATTTTTACTTATCTCAGTGACTTGCGGGTGCAAAGGACATTTCATAGGCAAGGACTGAGGACCCTAAGTGTTCAACAATGTAGATTAAATTGTCTTGTCAAAATACCATTAGTGCCTAGATGAGACTTCTTGCTCCCAAGCACAGTATTTTTAGATATGTGTGGTTCCTTCTTTCTAGAATCTGTTAATTCTACCTCCTTCCAAAATAATATTGTCTTTGGATGATTCCATTCAAAATCTCCTCTTATCTAAAGACTTTGGGTGATTTCATTACCATGTACACAGTAGTAATGGGAGATGATTAACTTACTCCCATAACACACTGCTTGCCTGCTGACATAGCCTAGTGTACTGAATTAAGGTTAAACTTCTTACCCATTAGTCATTTCACTCCATGTCAATTTTTTTTTTCCTTATCCCCTCTAAGCCCTAACATTTAAGCTCCTTAAAGAAAGGGATGTTTCTATGGCATCTCACTTTTTTTAAAACTCCAATTACGACTGTTAACCTACAAGTTGAGAATAATTCTAGAAATGATTTTTTAGATTAAAAGATAAAAATCATCCCTGCATGCCTATGAACAGAATGCTCTTCCTTAATAACTTTTTTGTAGTTGTTAAACTTAGAATTCCAAATACTCTAAGGTAAACTAAATATTTTAGTTACATCTTTTATTAGTAATGGTGCTTTACAGAACCCTGAATGTATGAAATTCTAGATTAAACTAAACAAGAGATTACAAACTCAGATTTAAAAAAAAAAAAAATAAGGCAACAGAGGCCACAGACTCTGTAGTGAAGTAGCGAGAATGTTCCCAATATAAGGATATTTAAATTCCTTGGGGATCTTTTTTTGGGGGGGGGTGCTACGTATGCTTTACAAAGTTCTGCTAACAAGCTGTGTTTGAGATGCTTGTTATGTGAAAAACACTTAAATAATGTTTTTAAAAGTGTGTGTGCAATATACTTTTTTTTTTAAAGATTTTATTTATTTATTTGACAAAGAGAGATCACAGGTAGGCAGAGAGGCAGGCAGAGAGAGGGGGGAAGCAAGGATCCCTGCTGAGCAGAGAGCCCGATGCGGGGCTCCATCCCAAGACCCTGAGATCATGACCCAAGCCAAAGGCAGAGGCTTAACCCACTGAGCCACCCAGGTGCCCCTAAAAGTGTGGTGCAATATAATTCTAGACAAAAGATGAAAATGTTCTTATCCTACCCCATTGAAGTTTAAGCTTAGACTATTTCTGTAGCATATATAAAAAAAAAACAACTTCTTTTCCACTCAAAATTTGAAACTTAGTTCCCCTAAGTTGCATAAACAGTAAATAATAGACATAAATCAACTGCTCACTTGCACATCTGTTCATATCTGGGGCTCGGTGTCCATAGTACCCGGATGGACAGGAATGCAGGCACTCTCCATACTGGCGCATGCCTTCTCTCCGAAGAAAGAAGAACAACTTCTGTTGACATCGGCTGCACCCATTGTCCTTTGAACAAGACAAACAACCCTTGCAAATGGGATTTGATACATAACTAGCTGTAAGAGAAAAACACAAAACACATGTTCAAATAGGAGTACGATCAAGATGTCAGGTCAATATAACATGGTGAGAAAACAAGAGTCTCTTGTCCTACTCACATCACATAGAAATGCTAAATATTCCCCCACTCCACCCCCCAATAAAGTTAATACACAACCAAACTTAGAAACAAAGAGGAAAGTCAGAGTTCGAGCTGAAACCGAATGGCTCACTGAGATGTTAGACTAGATCAAGGCAGACGGCATGGCAGGGTCTTAAATCCAGACCAAGAAATATGCATATGAACACCAGACCCTTGGGTCTCTTCATGGAGACTGGAGTTGTGAGGGCTGTTTGCACATGAAATGAGTACTAGAAGCCTCCACCCCAATTTACCAGGGATGAAGATTTCAACCACAGATTAGGAGCATAGGGTAGATGAGCAGGTAGAGAGAAATTATAATCCATGAGACACAAGAAACCCAAATTTGCAATACATCCAAGTATGAGATCCAAGTTCAAAGTATCAGTATAGAATCAAATCATTAAATCAAGATTCTAACATAAAAACATCAATCCATGAAAACCCACAAAGAAAATAATATGAAACTACCCTAAAGAAATGTTCTACAATCCTGAGACGTGGAACTTACATGGAAAGCCACCTTCACATCAAAATGAACCAATCACAGGGAAAAGCAAACCTTCATGAGGAAGAATCACCAGCCTTAGAGAGACAGATCTCACACCTAAAGAGTCAGAAATAATAGAACAATCTGAAAGAGTCTTAAAAGTGATTATCTTCAGAATACTTAAAAGAGATAAAGGACTAGAAATCACAAGGGAAGAAGGGCAGTATCACCTAATGACTGTGCAATTAGAAAGAAATGAAAATTCCAAAACTGAAAAAAAAAATCTATGAACAATTGAATAGAAGAAAGGTATTTAACTAGAAAACAGGTTTAAATAACTGTAACACCAAACACAATAAAGATGAAAATGTGGAAAAGAAGCATGTAAAAAAAAAATGAAAAAGTTTTAATACATGATTATTAAGTGCTACAGAGTAAAAAAAAAAATAGCATGAGTAAGACATAAGACATAATATCCAAAGAGATCATATCAGAAGAGATATAATAGAGATCTAATCAGAAAGAGATGAATTCTTTAGATGAAAACTTCAGAGATCTGAGTAGATCAGTAAAAACAAGTCTGCATCTGAACACAGCATATTTGTACTGTGAGTACAGAGAGAAACAGATCACCTAGAAAGGAATTTTTATCTCTAGCAGACATCTCATCAGAAATAATGTCTGTCAGATGGTGGAATATTACCTGCAACCTGTTAAGGGAAAATTATCAAACTATAATTCTACAAGTAACTAAATGATAGCTAAAGAAAGAGGGCAAAATAAAGATATTTCCAGCCAAAATAAAGGCAAGGAAATTATTAATCATTCACCAAAAGAATAAACTGCATATATCAGGGAAAATAAAATGGAACTCAAAGAAGTAGAATGTAATAAGCAACAGTGATCAAATATGAGAAATATGTTGGTATGCCTATGAAAAGTTATCAGTTTTTAAGAAGAATCAATTTCCAAAATTTAAAAATAATACATATTTTATATTTAAGAGCAGTAACATGGAAGACTCAAGGAGGGAAAACAAAGGCAAAGAATTCAAAGTTTCTACATTTTGAGTGAGGAAGACCAATATAGATGAAACTTCCTTAAGTTACATGTACTTGTTAAAATTCTTGGTAGCAACCACAGAAACAGTAATGTATCACTTCTAAACCCGTGACAACCACAGATGTAGTAAATGTATAAAATAGGAGTAGGAGGTAAACATCCAAATGTCTTTGACTAGGAGAATGGATAAATTATGGTGTATTTTAATGATAAAAGAATTAAACTACTGGCACATACCTGAAAAGGAATGAAACTTACAGACATTATATTGAACAAAGGAAACCACACACACACACACACACACACACTTTGTATAATTCTATTTAATTGATGTCAAGGACGTGTGAAGCTTATCTGTGGTGACCAAAATTAGAACATTAAATGCCTCTGAGGGTTTGGGACTGACTGGAAAGGGGTACGCAGGAATTTTTGGCAGGTGTATTTGTTGCCTTAACAAATTACCACAATGTGGTGGCTTACACACCAGGATTTCATTTTCTAAGTTCTGTGGACTGAAGTCTGAAATCAAGGTGTCTGCAGAGCCATGTGTCCTTTGATAGCCGTAGGGAAGAAACCTTCTCTCTGGCCTCAAGTATTCCTTAACTTGTGGGAATGTATCTCCCATCTGACTCCATCTTCTCTATGTATCTCTGTGTGTCCTTTCTGCCTCTCATAAAGACACAGTCTTTGCAATTAGGGCTCACCTTAATCCAGTATGATCTCCTATCCATCCTTACCTTAATTTCATTTGCAAAGCCCTATTTTCAAACAAGGTCATACTCTGAGGCTCCAAGTGGACATGAATGGAAACAGGTGTAGGGTGTGCAGACCCCAGTTAACCCATTCTAGAAGGTGACAGAAATGCTCTAACCTTGACTAGATATTGGATATATAACATATATATACAACATATATATATTCACAAAACTTATCAAGCCATGTGTTTCTTAAATAAGTAATCTGCATAATTTACAAGCAAATTGTATCTGAATTAAAAAAAAATGGGTAGGAAGGCCATACTCTAACTTCAGGATAATGTAATTGTTACTTGTAATTACATATCTTTCGAAGATTCCACAAATTATATTGGATGCTCACCATATGATATGCTTTACTCTTATGGCTTGTGTTTCATTTGAAATAACAGAAATATCCATTGGAAGTACAAGGTGGGATAATACTAAGTAAATGTTGAAACAGGTTCTGAAAATGGATACATGAGCCTTATGGAGTTTACTACATCTAATGATAAAAAGAGTAATTTCAAGAAAATACTGTTTCCAGCCCTGGCATAAAATTAATGATACAATCTGACATCCCAATATAATTTCTTTTTTCTTTTTTTTTTTTTTTTAAGATTTTATTTATTTATTTGTCAGAGAGAGAGAGGGAGAACAAGCGAGCACAGGCAGACAGAATGGCAGGTAGAGGCAGAGGGAGAAGCAGGTTCCCTGAGGAGCAAGGAGCCCGATGTGGGACTTGATCCCAGGATGCTGGGATCATGATCTGAGCCGAAGGCAGCTGCTTAACCAACTGAGCCACCCAGGCGTCCCACCAATATAATTTCTAAAGTATGAAAACTCATTTAACTTTTAGTTATATTTATGACCTTGCTTGGTATACTGATAACAAGACATATATTAAGTCACATGGACTTAATTAAGCTAACCCACAGAAGAAAGAAATTAGAGAATAGAAAACTCAGCAATTTATTGAAACACTTAGCTTTGAGGCCACATCCTATTTGCCCTCCATAGAATTTTTCTGCATATAAAATCAGTATCAAGCCCTAAGTATTCAGACTAGCAGCTACACAACAAAGAACACTGTATACCACAACTTTCCTTACAATGATTCAACCACCGATATATTTACAGCTACTGTAGCACATCTATATAGGTTTTAGTCCCACAAGATGCTCTCCCTGCTTCTCCTGGGCTCCCACCCACAAACCCCACTTGGATCTTACACCTTTTCTTGTAGGGAGATCCCAAAACAGGAGTTTGGCTCCTTTTCAAAAGTTAAAACAAAGAATCGCCAAGGCACTCCGACCCAGGAATTAGAGCCAAGACTGCTCTTTGATCTGGTCTTTAAGATCCACCTCTTGGTGGCACCTGGGTGGTTCAGTGGGTTAAAGCCTCTGCTTTCAGCTCAGGACATGATCCCAGGGTCCTGAGTTCAAGCCCTGCATTGGGCTCTGTGCTCAGCAGGGAGCTTGCTTCCTCCTCCTCCTCTCTCTCTCTGCTTGCCTTTCTGCCTCCTTGTGATCTCTGTCTGTCAAATAAATAAATAAAAATATATTTTAAAAATATTAAAAAAAAAAAAAGATCCACTTCTTCCTGGCTATCCCAGGACTCTGTTCTATCAAAAGTTCAATGGTTTTTACCTGCCTGCTGAATCCATTTCATGGACATTCTCCTGCTTGCAAACCTATTGATGCTTCCCAAAACAGTTCCTTATTTACTACCATATTTTCTAAAATCTGAAACTGTGAAGGAAAAAAAGAATCAATACAGATGAAAAAATACTTCCTCAGATAGGATTCCTAATAAAATTTTGGGAGACCACTTTCTAAACACGTATACATACATATATACATAACATAATTGGTATTTTTCACAACTGGCCATACTTTGCATGTATCATAACTTGCCCAATTTCTGTCAAGTGGTGAGCTTTAGTGTCAGTTCTATCTTCTGCCTCTATTTACTCCAACCACCCATTCCATTATCTTCAACACTACTTTTTCTGAAGACCACAACCAGTTTTCTAATCCTTAATTCAAACCCTCATTCTTGGTTTCTGGTCCTCACAACTCCTGTACCCGGGGTCATTTCAGAATGTTTTATTCCTCCTCTGGCTTCCATGATAATGTCTCCTCCTATACTGTTAGTTCTAACTCTCACTTTTCTGGTTTCCACTAAATCCTCTCATAACTCAGGCCCTTATTTCTTCTCACTAAGGCGGTTATGATGCCCCCAATCCCTTACCCACCTCTCTCTTTTTCACTCCACACTCTGGTGTTGGGTTGATTTTACGGAGATTATGCTCATTGTAGGACTTCGGTTACAGTTTATTCTGACACGATAACATTGATTTATAAAGCATTTTCATTATCGATGAAAATAAGCCTATACTATTTATAATTGCCCCAGCTGCCTTCTAAAGAGGTTCTAGCTGACATTATTTTTGGTTCCCTGAGCAGGGTGTAAGGAATAGGTAAGTTTCAAAAACTGGGGTACAGCTCAACTTCTCTGTGTAAAAAAGGGGTAAAAATTGGAAAGAGGGTGGGTAGGATGCAAAGACTTGGGTGAGAGGAAAAG